TCATGGATGCCTGGATGTTAAACTCAATTGTTACACCTGGTAGAGCAGAACGCTGATCATTTTATTAAAGATGAAAGACTTTAGACAGTTTTTCAACTCTCAGTAATGCCATAGTGATCGTTTGATATATGGACCTGCAGCGGAGTTTAGGTCCAGACACGGCTAGTGACATTAGACTGAACAACCGGATACCTTTCTAATGTGACGTTGGTGTCCCTGGCTCTTTCTCTCTCTCTCCCTCTGTTCCTGTGCTACTGATTTTAACTACCGCCCCTCCCCCCTCTGCCCAGCGCAAAGCACAAGGCTCGCATGCTGAGTGAAGCGGAAAAAAAGTGCGAGAGAGAGGGTGAGAGAAAGAAAAAAACAAAACAAAAAAAAAACGGCTCGCGATAAGGAGCCGGCTCGCGTCATTTTGTTCGCAACTGACCCATCACTAACGGTGGCCCCTAGAGACAAAGCACGTACAAACTTCAAATCACGTACAAACCGTGAAGCACGTACAAACTCCAAAACACATAAAAAACACGTAAAAACTCCAAAACACGTACAAACTCCGAAGCACGTACAAACTCAGAAGCACATAAAAACTCAAAACACAACAGAAGTGCTCCAGGATGCTGTTTTGGAAGTTCAGTTCATGCTAGAAATGTGTTTTGGAGTTCGTACGTGTTTTGTCTCTAAGAGCCACAGCATATATTTATATATAAACATATATAAATAAAACCACTTTTTTTTTACATTAGTAATTCCTTTTGTGCATAATTTTATATTATTGTTAATAATAAATTAATTAAAGCAACAAAACAACCTGAAGAGCCGGTTCGGAGCCAAAAGAGCCGGTTCTCTAAAAAGAGAATACTAATACCTACAATATCAGAGCTGCTTCTAACTGCAATGGCCAGAGGCTCCATAGCTAGAGCAAAGAGCAGTGGAGATAAACAGCAACCCTGCCTAGTCCCCCGGTGAAGTAGAAACGGATGTGATCTATCAAAATTTGTCAGTACCGATGATCTTGGCCGTGCATAAAGCATACGTACCAAAGTTGTAAAATTACTACCAAATTTCTCAAGTATAGCAAACAGGTATTTCCACTCTATTTGATCGAAAGCTTGTTGTGCATCTAATGAAATAACAGCTGAATTTGGAGGATTTGTTCCATACAGTACATTCAATAGACGACGGGTATTAGAGAAAGCAAATCTGTCTGGAATAAAACCAGTTTGATCATGTTGAATTAAAGTGCCCAAAAATGTATTAAGGCGTGAAGACAAGACTTTTGGAATGATTTTTTGATCACAGTTTAATAAACTAAGTGGGCGATATGAAGTCACATTGGTGGGGTCTCTGTCCTTCTTAGGGAGAAGACAAACGTGGGCATCATATATGCTATCAGGGAAAGAGCCCCGTGCAATAGAGCA